CAGGGTCGCTATGGGTCGGAACCGACTCGACGGCACTTAACAACAACAACAACAATGCTACCAGGGATCCTTCAACAATCATAATGATACTTCTAAATTATCTGTAAAGTAAAGCAAGTAACCTTATTTTTAAGGGATCTAGAATCAATTGTTTGGCAATTTAAGAATATGGAAAGCTATTTTTGTTTTAATAAATTCTAATAAAGTTATAAAGATATTTTCTATAGAGATTTGAAGATAATCAAATTAATATATATTTCAGGAAAGAACAATTTGTAGTTGTATAAAATGTATTTGGCCCTTACTAGAAGTAATTCTGGCATCCTGGTATGTCACTATAGGATACGCACTGGACTGCTAACCACAAGATCTGTAGTACAAGCCCACCAACATCTCCTATATAGGGTCACTATGAGTCGGAACCAACTCGACAGCACGTAACAATTACAATAACAAAAATAATGCTACAGCAAAAATACAAACAGCAAAATAAGACAGAAAAGTCTAGTAGAAAAGACTAAATAATGTAAGTTTATGCAATTTAAAAATCTCTTTAAAGTACAAAAGAGGATAAAGTAAAAAGCGAAAGATAGGCTCTGTGAAGGAATAGGATAGGCTATGAAAGAATAGTTACAGTGTAAACTGAAAGCAAAAGGCAGAAAAATCTTTTAGGAAAAAAAGGCAATGTGCTATGAAAAAAAAAAAAACACTGGAAAAAGTTTATCAAGAAAAAATTCAAATGATTAATACAGTGGATGAACATATGTATAGCCTGTCCACAATTACAGATTTTATAACAACTTATTTTTAACCAACTGAAGTTAAATTTTTTTAATGTTACAATTCTAGTGTTCTCAGCATGATAAAAAAAAGATATACTTGTATACTGTTATGATAAAAATGGCAAAATAATAAATTAACCTTAGAATGTCAAGTTAACCTTAGAATTCTCTTGAAACCTTTAAATTCAATTAATCTTTTACCATCTAAAACCTTCTTAACAAAATACTAGCTCAATGTGCACAAAATCTATCCATATGAAGATATTTGTTGAAGAATTGTCTAAAAACCAAAAAACTAGAAAATATTTGCATGCTCAATAAAGAATGCCTGAATAAATGTCAGTCCATTTATGATCTAAGCTACCACGTTATTGCTAGATGCCCTCAAGTCACTTCAGACACATCATTCTCTATGCACAACAGAATGAAACACTGCCCAGTCTTGAGCCATCCTCACAATTATTGTTGAGCCCATTGTTGCTACCAATGTGTCACTCTATCTCACTGGGAGACTTCCTCTTTTTCACTGACCTGTGACTTTACCAAGCACGATGTCCTTCTCCTCGATATGGTTCCTCTTGACATGTCCAAGGTATAAGAAACAAACTCTTGCCATTCCTGCTCCAAAAGACCATTCTGAATATACTCCTTCCAAGATAGATTTGTTTGTTCTTCTGGCGGTCTATTTGCAATTATATGCTGACAACAATTATCCCTCCCACAGTACTCTCTACTCAAATGAGTTGGATAATTCATTGCAATGGCCACACAAAACTCAGACACAATATTCATAGTTATGGGGTTTATTAGGGAAATGAATACTTTACAGTTGTTGTTTCTGTTGTTGGTAAGTGTCATCAAGTCGCTTCTGACTCATAACGACCCTCTATAGAGTTTCCAAGGAGCAGCTGGTCAGATTGAACCGCTGACCTTGCGGTTCAAACTAACTTTGAAGTCCAGCCCATTAACCCACAGTGCCACACCAGAACGCCAAACAGTACAGAATCAGAACTGCTCAGAGCACGGTTTTTCCAGGCAAGACAGCTCTCCTCAGCCAATGCCAACAGGCAGGCTTCCCTCTGCCTGGTCCATGTTGCAAAATTCTTTCAGGACTGCTGATAAATACCCACAAGACACACCATTCCAAAATAGGGCTCAGCTTGAGGGTACTAAGCTCTAGCTGCAGGGGTCAACAACTATCACTGCAAGCCAGCCTGGAGGTTCTCAACTCTGCAAGCCAGCCTCCCACTCAACAACACTCAGCTTTACTTGCTCCATGGGCTGGGAAGACCAAATCTCTAGATCATGCTCTGGTTCTTGTTTTTGATGCTGCTGCTCCTCTGCCCGCCCCACCCCCACCCACCCCATTGTCACAGTTTTCTGTCCCTGAGCCAAGGAGGTTAAACGTGCAAGGACTTGGGGTACAAAGGATATGCTCCACTTCAATGACAGTGGAAGATGTGTCATTTTATACTCATGCTAAAGTTTCAAGTTTTTTAAATTGCAATTTTCCCTGTTAACATCCACAGCTGAACCATGTCATCCTATCAGCATCTTCTCCCACGTTCTCTTACCCAGGCCCAGTGGGACAATAGTCATTAGGTGAGAGTTCTACAAACCTGTTGACATGTTCTTCTTCATATAAACCAGCTTCTCAGATTATCTGCCCAGTATACAGATTGAATACATATGGTGAAAGGATACAACCCTGTGCACACTTTTATGACTTCAAACCATTCAGTAGCCCCTTGTTCTGTTCAAACACCTGCATCTTATTCTAAATACAGGTTCCACATGAGCACAACTAAGTGTTCTGGAATACACATTTTTTGCAATGTTATCCATTGTTTGTTATGATCCACACATTTGAATACCTTTGTATAGGCAATAAAGCACAAGTAAGCTTTTTGCTAGTATTCTTTGATCTCAACCAACATTCATCCATCTGACATAAGCAGCGATACCCTTAGTCCTTGCCTGATTGAAGTTCAATTTCTGGCTGCTCCCTGTCAATGTACTACAACCATTTTTGGATTATCTTCAGCAAAATTTTACTTACATGTGATATTAGAGATATTGTTCACAGATATTCCATTTAGTTACCTTTCTTTAGAACGGGCACAAATATAGATCTCTTAACGATCCTATCAGTGCGGCCAGATAGCTGTCTTACAAATTTCTTAGTATAGACAAATGGCAGCCTCCAGTGCTGCATCAGTTTGCTGAAACATTCAATTTGCATTCCATAAATTCCAGGAGCCTTATTTTTCATAAATGCCTTAGTGCAGCTTGGAGTTCTTTCTTCATGTGCTACTTCTTGAAACAGGACTTGATCATATGCTACCTCTCGAAATGACTGAGCATTGACCATTGCTTTTTGGTACAGTGACTCTGTGTATTCCCTCCATCTTCTTTTGATGTTTTCTGCATCATTCAATATTTTTCCCATAGAATCTTTTGATATTGAAAGTCGAGGCTTAAAGTTTTCTTCAGTACTTTCAGCTTGAAAAATGCTAAGCATGTTCTAAACCTTTGGTTTTCTAACTCGAGTGTTTCACATTTCATTTTAATTTTCATTTAAGATTTTGTTTTTTGAAATTTTCTACTCAGTCCTTTCATTTCTCATTTCTTCCACTCACTTTACCATCTCTATGACCAAAAGCAAGTTTCAGAGTCTCTTCTGACATCCATTTTGGTCTTTTCTTTCTTTCTTTTTAACAACCTTTGGATTTCTTGCTGTATAATGTTCTTGATGTCATCCCACAACTCTTCTGGTTTTCAATCATTAGTGC